CTCTCTGGGTGACCTGTGGCTGTGTGGCCCCTGGCTCTCTGGGTGACCTGTGGCTGTGTGGCCCCTGGCTCTCATGGGGCCTGTGGCTGACAGTGTGGTCCGTGGCTACTGCTGGGACCCAGGGCCGACAGCGTGGCCTCTGGCTGTCTGTGTGGGCCCCGGCGGTTGCTGGGACCTGTGGCTGCTGGTGGCCGGTGGGACTGGAGGTCCTGCGTGGCCGGGGCTGGGGGCAGAGCTACTGCCCGGCGTGGCCCGTCCGCCTGCCGTCCTTGCTGCCTGCCCTCACATCGCCGCACTGTGCTTTCAGAAGTGCCCTTTCCCGCTGCTCGGTTTCCCCTTCTGGGACGCGGCAGCACTGAAGCTTGTGACAAGTGCCTTCACATAGACCCCCTGCAACTGTCAGCGTTCGCCGTGGGCGCCAGGCCGCTGCCCACCTGCTGACCCTGGCCCCTTGTGAAAGTGCATCTCTGTACATATGTACATATTAAATGAATCGCTCTGTATATTTGATTTAACAACTTAAACGCTTTGGCCTCCCTGTTCTTTGGGTGCTGTTGCTTTTTGATTTGGAGTTGGGGCAGAGGTACAGGAAAGTGAGGTGTGGTGGGTGTCGGGCAGGTGGCCCTGGCCTGGAGTGCCTTGGTGCCCTGTGGTGGCTGACACAGGCTTGGTGGACCCCTCCTGGACGGGGTTTGGGTGCCTGGCATCCCACCTCCTAATAGCCAAGAAAGGGCTTTATGAGCTATATACATAGCAATGCAAAAACACCTGGGTCCTGGTTAATCTCCACACTGCACCTGAGGGAAGGCACAGCCCTGTGACAGTGGCCGTGTGTCCGGCTGACCCAGGGCATCTCCCAGGTGTGCACAAGCTCTTCTGCCTCCTGCAAGGGGCAGGGGCTGGTGGAGGGTGAGAAGCAAAGCCAGGAGCCATGGCTGAGGAAGAAGGAGCCCCACAGGAGCCCGGGAGAGCAATTTCTCTGTGCATTTTGTTGGGTGACCTGACCTGCTGGCCACCGCGAGGGATTATTCTGGACACCTGTCCTTGGGTTGTTTCTGTGGGAATTCTCCAGGGATCCGCAGCTCTGACTGCCGTGAGCGTGGTCTCCATGTTGTGGCCTGTGTCCTCCTGCCAGCCGCTTCTCTAGGTGAGGCCAGGTCTGCAGGAACAGGCGCAGGAGCTGGTGGGGGAGCTTATTCACTGTTAGCTGGACCCCAAGGGTAAGCCCTCCTCCTGTCTTGTCCCCAGGAGGAGCCATTGGGCAGTCCAGGTGGGAAGTCTGCCCTGAGGAGTTGTGTGTGGTTCATGCCAGGACTTGAGTGGACACGAGACCTGCATGCCCACCACCAGGTTGGCCAAAAGTATCCTCAGCTCTGAGTTTCCTTCTGAACGGTGTCTTCCTGACCTGGGGTCCCCTAGGTGCCTAGTAGAAACAAACACGACTCTGTCCTAGGCCTCTGCCTGCCTGCCTGCCCCATAAAGTGGTTTTTCAGTGTCAATGGGCAGAGCACAGCAAACCCTGGCACTGGGGGGGTCTGGCCGTGACCACGAGCCCCAAGGGCCTGCAGAGGCCTGGGGCATGTCCTTGGGCTGCTCAGGAGCAGATCCAAGGGCTGGGGTGTGGCTTGTGGCTGAGCGCTTGCCTAGCATGAAACCCAGGCCCTGGGTTTCATCCTCAGCACTGGAAAAAATACCAGATTATAAACAAGTGTGCTTTCTGTGCTCCCAGGGCTGGAAGTGCTGATGGTCAACGAGAAACTTCAGCTGTTCAGCAGGTTTGAAAAGACCAAGTGAACTGTCTAGAAATGACAATGCCCCAACCCCACCTCAAGGAGCAGTTTGGCAGCTACTCTCAGACCCTAAAGAAGAGAGAGCAGGTGAACCAGAAGAGCTGACAGGAGAAACCATACAGAATGCAGCCTAGAGGGACACAAAATGGAAAGTGGACGTGCAGACAAAGGCGGGCTGTCCTGAGGCATGTCACTGGTGGGGCACCTGTGGGAGAGTGTGGTGGGTAGGGCCAGGGTCCCTGAGCTGCCTGCTGGTGCACGTAGGCACACAGGCCTGCCACTCCCTCTGAGCCTGCCGTCCAGTGTCCTAAGCCCACCTCAGTTCTCCACATCCCCTGCTCAGGCCTGTCCTGGCCGGCTGCTGAGGAAGGGTGCCCTGCCTAGGTGACCTGATGCCAGCAGGGGTGGGAACAAGCTGTCCATGTGCTCTTCCCAGCCTGGCCATGGCCAACTCATGCAGATGGCCACAATGAAGAGGCCCAGGCATGGGGCCCGGCGCATTCCACACTGGTCCTGCACTCAAGTCCCTCCTGGGTGATGGGCTCATTTTCATTTCCAGTGCTGGCCCCACTCTTGGTGAGGCTCTGAAGACTGACCCTGGGGAGTATAGCCCAGCTCTGCCACTCAGCCCCCAGAGTGCAACCACCCTGCCAGCTTGAAGCTCAGCGGCTTCTTCCCTCCTGGGGTAAGAAGTTCACCTCCAGAGAGGGCCTCCCTGCTAGCAAGTCCATCAGAAGAAAACTCGCTCACCCAAGCTGGCTGCTCACTGCCCCCGAGGGTGGTGCTGGCCCCCAGGGTTCACCTGGCCAAGAAGAAGGCAGTGGTGGGAAGCGTTGGTGCCCGAGGCCACCTGAGTTGGCTCGTGCCACTCCCACAGGTCCTGCAAGCCTGAGGTCATCCCTGTTGCCCAGTTAGGGAAGGACAAGACACTAGGAGCAGTTTGGGGCCCAGCTGCAGATAGCTATGCCACCATCCCTGACCCCCCTCAGCAGGGTGCCTCTTCCAGTGGTGGTCCCTCCCATCTGGTTTCCCCTGGCTGGCAGGCCTGGAGGTCTGGGCAGGGGGGTGTCTGTGGAAAGATGGGGCAGCTCCACCATCAAGGAGCAGGTGCCCAGCCGCCCTGACCTGGGACAGTGGGTTTAAGAGCATGAGGCCAAGTCTGAACCTAGGCATGGGACTTCTGAGAACTGACCAATGACCAGGCTGTCCTGTGCCCTTGGACCTGCTCCAGCTGGGGTCTGGTGGCTGCGTGACCAGCACAGCAGGAGACTTCGTTTGTGCTGAGGACGCAGACGCTGGGCAGTGGGGCAGGGAGGGTGGGCGAATCCCTTAAGGGGATGAAGAGCAGGACCTGGAAAAGAGAGGGGTCCCCGGGTAGGCAGCACAGGTCGGGTAGCCTGGAGGGCGGCTAAGGCTCCTCGTGGTCAGGTGGGGGCTGGCTGCATGGCTTCAGGGATGGGGAAAGATCTGGGTGCTGCTCGGGGAGCCGCAGAGACCCAGTGGTGGGCACCTGGCTGGGATCTGGGCAGCAGGTGCTCAGTCCTCAGCCAGAGGACACAGACATGCCCCACCATGTCCCCACCACTGCATGCAGGTGAGTGACCAGTGCTCAGTGGCCAACACTGCCAGTCCAACGCAGGGCAGGGCCTCACACACACACCTGGAATGCCTGGCTCCTGAGCCGGTCAGGTTGCCTTCCCCGTCCCCTGTGTCAGGGCAGGGCAGTGACTGGGACTGGATGGAGAGGGCACCCCACTGCTGGCTGTGTGTGGGCAGCTCTGAGGCCCTGGAGCAGCACCTCTAGCACCCACTGCCACTAGAGCCACATGCCTGGCTCCTCCTGGCTGGCTGCTTCCTTGGCATTTGGCCCTGGGGACCAGGCCAGCTGGTTCTGCCTGGCGACAGCTCTGACTACCGTTGTCTCCGAAGAAACCGGCCCCAGGGTGCAGAGAGGAGGTTCCACACGGGAATCTGTCCCAGGGCGGCTAAGCCCATTAACTCCTGCAGGCCAGGCCACATGCAGCTGGCATGGGCCCCGTGGTGGCCATAGGCTCAAGTCCAGCTGCCCACGTCCCAGCTGGGCTCACTCCTTCCTCATCAGACCCCCAGGCCTAGGTCCCCCAAGGAGCCCCGGTCAGCATCACTAGGGAGGGTCTCAGATGGGGAGCAGTAGGGATCACAGACCCTTACACCAACGGGACAGGCCTTGGAGGAAGGTGTGCCCCCGACATGCTGTGGCCTCTGGCCCCAGATGCTTGCTGCAGAGGTAGCCAGGGTGTGGCCTTGGGGGAGCACTCCAGAGGGGCCGAGATTCTGAGGAGGGCATGCACATGGAGTGCAGGTCAGGGGAGGCCTGGTTGTCCAGCAGTGGGCCTTAGGAGGCCACAGGCAAGCTCTCCTTCCTGGGGGGGTCCAGCTAGCCCAGGGCTGGAGGTGTGGCCCTCAGGGATCCCTTCTTCATGCAGCTTTTCCACCTGGTGCTGACCCTGGAGGGAGCTTCTGCAAAGAAGCCAGGTGGCGAGGCTGACACAAGATGGCCGGGAGGCTGGCCAGGAGGCTGGCCGGGAGGCTGGCCGGGCCCCAAGCCCATGGTCATCATCTTTATTATTCCAGTGGCCCCAGGTCACTCCCTTTCCTAACTAGAGGTCTTCGGGTGGTCCAAGGGCCTCCACCCAAGGCTGGCTCTGGATGAGGTCAGGAGATGGGCCTGAGCAGGCCCCACTGTGTCCATGCAGGGCAGAAGGCTTTGCATTGGGTGTGGTGAGCTCAGAGCTCAGCTCTCTTGTTTTTTAATTAGAAATTGTTTGGGGCTGGGGATGTGGCCCAAGCAGTAGCGCGCTCGCCTGGCATGCGTGCGGCCCGGGTTCGATCCTCAGCACCACATACAAACAAAGATGTTATGTCTGCCGATAATTAAAAAATAAATATTAAAAAAAAAAAGAGATTGTTATGGGTTTTTGGTTGACCTTTCGGTCTGTGATTCATTTTGAGTTGGTTTTGCATATGGTGAGTGCTGTGGACCACAGGTCTTTTTACTTCACACGGATACTCACTTGTTATGGGCTGTGTGCTAGAAGTCTCCTTTCTCCACCCTGTACCTTCACACACTTGTTAGAAGTCACACGATCTGCACGCCCGTAATCCCAGCTGTTCTGGAGGCTGAGGCAGGAGGATCGCCAACTCAAAGCCAGCCT